TGTTGGGCTCACCAAAACCTGCTCTCCATCAGAGCGGTTTACATATCCGGTGTTCTGAACAGAGGGGCAGATGTGATGTCCAGGGGCGGCCCACGTCACGCGGACTGGACCCTCCATCCAGACCTGATGTTTTCAGACGTGGCAGAAGTTTGGCAAAGCAGCTGTGGACCTGTTTGCGACGCGAGAGAACGCTCAGTGTCAACTATGGTTTTCTCTGAGCCCGCGAGACGATCCACCGCTGGGGGTGGATGCATTTGCTCACAGCCCGTGGCCCAAAACGCTTCTGTACGCGTTTCCCCCACCTCCTCTGTTTTTATGGTTCCTGAACCGAGTTCAGGAGGAGGGATCGACAGCTCTCATGGTAGCTCCCGAGCGCGTGAACGCACCATGGTTCCCAGCCCTGCAACGTCTGTTGTCGGGTCTTCCGTGGAAACTGTCGTGGAGGGAGGATGCTCTCCTTCAAGCATGAGGAGCAATCAGGAGTTACCCAGAAATAGGTCAGTACCTGTGGGTCTGACCGCTGAGCGGTCCCGCTTAGAGAGGATGGGTCTCCCTCAGGAGATAGTGTGCACAATTCAAGATTCACGTGCTGCATCTACCACAGCTCTGTACACATCAAAGGGGACGGCTTTCAGCACTGGTGTACAGAGAAAGGTTAAGAGGCCACCTCATGCCCATTAGGCGGCGTGTTGTTTTTTCTACAACAGCTGATGGATAGGAAGTTGGCATTCAGTACGTTTAAAACGTACGTTGCAGTCATCTCTTCCTGCCACGAAGGGTTCGGAGACAGAACAGCTTTAATCACCCGCTGATGAAGCGTTTTTTCTAAAAGGTGTATAGAGACGCAGGCCTGCTTCACGCCCACTTGCTCCACAGTGGGATTTAACGCTGGTCCTGCGAGCCCGGATCAAAGCTCCATTTGAGCCTCTGGATCAGGTTTTCACTTAAATTCTTGTCTCTTAAAACAGCCCTGCTGCTGGTTTTAACATCCGCTAAGAGGGTGAGTGATTTATCTGCCCTCTCTGTTGCTCCGTCATGTCTTAGAATTCAGGCTGACGGGCAGCTCAGCTGATTTAAGACCAAACCCAGCTTTTATGCCTAAAAACATCACGAGCTCTTTTAAATCAAGAGTGATATCGTTGGAGGGGTTTCTCCACCCCCCCACCCCCCACAGATCAGAGGATGAAGCATCTTTCCATCTTCTCTGTCCGGTGCGGGCGTTGACGTGTTACATCGCGCACAGCTGTAATGCGTCAAACTCAACACCTGTTTGTGCATTATAGAGATGCATCTGCAGGTCGCCCGTTATCCACCCAGCGCTTGTCACACTGGCTGTGTGAGACTATTTCTGAAGCCTACAGAGCATCAGATTTAGAGCCTCCTGTCAACCTCAGAGCTCATTCTATCAGGGGTATTGCATTTTCGACTGCTTTACATAATGGTATGTCAATGCAGGATATTTTTTGCACTGTGGCTGCGTGGTCACAACACGTGTTCATTATTCGCCTTTATTTAAGTGATGTGACGGTCTGTTCCATGACACATTCTGTCCTTAATGTTACAGAATGAACATTTTTGTTTCATGGAACTCCGTTTTACTCACATCTGTCTGCATGCATTACAGTGTGAGATGTTATCAATCACAAGTTGTGACTGTTACTTGACTCTATTGCCATTAATCAGTTCATGACTATTGTTATCAATCAGCTCTTTTGATTAATAATCAACTCTCCTGTTGTTATTAATCTGTTTATATGGTTCAGCCGTAAACCGGTTGGTTCATGGCTCTTTTCAGCGTTTTTTCCCTCCCCGTTGATGTTTTCCGGGGCGTTCATGCATTCAGAATGCATAGTTACACAACATGCGTTTGTGCATGGCTCACATAATTACGCAATGCGTAATTATGCACATGAGAGCTGAGTGATTAGACTTTTTTTGGGGGCAAGCTTCTGCTTCATACGGGTTTCGAATGGACCCAGTGAGGCGAGGACCACATCGGCTTCGCCCTTAACCCACTAGCGAAGGCCTTAAAGGGCGAAGCTTATACGAAATAGAACGTTGGTTACGTACTGTAACCCCAGATTCTATGAGTATAAGCGTAGCCCTTTAAGCGTCGGGCCTCACTGGCTCCTAAATGGCTGAAGAAAAAGCTATTTTGGGAGCCGATTTCCCGCTCTTAACGTAATTTATACGGACCGGGTGGGGCCCACACAGCAGGTGGGCGTGGACTAAATTTTTTCAGTGCTTATGCTGCGCATAACGGGATAAACCCACTAGCGAAGGCCTTAAAGGGCTACGCTTATACTCATAGAATCTGGGGTTACAGTACGTAACCAACGATTCCTTCAAGAAACCTCTCAATATAAATCATAAAACCATAATGATTTCTGCTCATTCTAAATTTGTCAAATGGCCTAAATCTCCTAAAGTGAAGGATAATCATTTTAAAATAATAAATAAGATATATCCTTTAGCATGTTTCTGCAAATTTGATGTTGATTTGTGTGCTTTTTTTAAATCAGAAGATGAATCCCTCGAGCAATTTTTTTTTTCATGTCAATACAAAGACTTTTGTCAGACATCAGAAACTGGATTAATCTTAAACTTAACATTCCTTCTTTTCATGCTGATGCCATTTAACTTTATGTGGATAACTGAAGCTCAGCTTTCTCTGATGCCATAAATATAGTCGTACTTATAGCAAAGTACCCCATTCACTGTAGTAAGAAGAGGGATAATAAGCCTTCCTTCCTGTTTGATGAACAATTTTAAGTCATAGTATTCTTCATTAAGTAGATTAAAAATCTGCAAAACTGCTAGAATCATCTCACAACAGATACAAACTTATTGTTTTAATTAAAACAATGTTTCTCAAGAAAAAAAACGACTGATGAGCATGTCAGCAGGTAAGGGGCGTTTACCTTCGGGACAAATTGAGGTTGTCGATTGGTCAGTTGCTGACACACCTTCTGAGTTGATTGGGTCGCGCCGTCGAGGATCCGATTAAAAAAAAAAAAACGAGAGCTGCAGCAGCGGCGATGGGAGGAGGCGGGGCTGCCCAAATGCAGCGGAAGCGCAGCAGTCTTTCTGTGCAGCGCAGGGCTCCAAGTAAAGCAGGAGATAACCAGATATTCTGCTTGTGCCCTCACTGCCTTGGGCCCCTTAGAGATCATGGGCCCCTGGGCAGTTGCCCATATGGTTAATCCGGCCTTGTCTATGGGGTAATCTCAAGAGGAAAATGAGGGGCACCAGACCCAACAACAAAGAAGAGCTGACAGCAAGCATCAAGGAAATCTGGGCTTCCATAACTCCCAGGCAATGTCACAGGCTGATTGCCTCAATGCCACGTCGCATCAAGGCAGTGATTAAGGCAAAGGGATTCCTAACCAAGTATTGAAGATTGACATATTGTTTTGAAAGTACCATATTTTGATTGAATTGTTGTGATCCTAATTTCTTTCTTTTTTTCCCTGCAAAAACTGAGGAGTGTGAGCTGATTTCTCCACATTATTCTAATTTTTTGAAATCATGTTTTCGTGGGTTTCATGAGCTGGAAGCCCAAATTATGTAAAAATAAACAAATACTTGAAATCATTTAAATTGTGGGCCCTGAATCTATCATCTATTAAAGATCAACTTTTTTTTAAGGGAATTGTGGAAGTTAAACAACTTTTCCATGATATTCTAATTTTTTGGAAAGGGTCTGTATAGGGGTGGCCATTTTGATTTTGATCTGGCAACCCAACCTTTGATAGTGACCTTTTTCATGCCTAGATGTGTCCACTGAAGTGGAAATTGGCAACTTGCTTGTTTTTGACCCAATCATGTCAGGATACTTTAAAGCATCAGAGTTCAAACTCAATACTTTAAACAATATAAAAACTAGAAAACATTCTCCTCAAATAAAAAGGGTGGTTGGTTTACATACATATATGGTGGCAGCCGTCTTGGGTTTTGACATGGCGACCCAATTTTTGAAAGGAACCTGTCTTACCCCTAGCTGTAGCTACATGCCAAAGTCGAAGTCTGCATCTCACCTATTGTTCCAAGTTGTCAAGCTCACAACATGCATGAATGGACAGACAGTATTTCCAGTTCCACTCTTTGCTCCAAGACGAGGGACAAAAAGAACATCTGGATGTTGCTTGTGCTGCTTATTGAGAAGACTCAGGAAATAAATACATTTTGCATTCTCTTCCATGAATACCTGTAACTTTGTCTAACAAGGTTGAGTCAGGTCCTCTGGATGGATTATTCTTTGTTGAAATGTTTCATCAGCCTGAAGAAGTCTTTTGGATAAAAGAGCAAACATTTCAACACAGAAGAATCTGTCCAGAGGAGCTGACTCAACCTGGGTAGATTTTTCTACCTGGATTATTGAGCATCAGGACATCTGTAACTTTGGTTGTACTTCTGAACCCCATTAGAAAATTCTCACAACAAAGTTCATTAGTGTACTTCATCACTTGAAAATTAGAGATGTCTCTAAAAGTGCTCATGCTTTCAAACCTTTTTGTCCCAGCAGACCGTTTGTTGGAAACACATTATGGTTATGAAGCCAGGCAAGCAGGGTAATTTTTTTTAAACAGTTCTGAAGGTTTTTCTGAACAAAGCTGTATTCTCCAATCATTTATGTCCTTTTTGTGTATGAACATTGTTTCTTAACGAACATTAACATGGCTATCGGAAACCCAAAGACCAGCTGTAAGTGACTGTTCAAACATTAGATTTTTATGTTAATGTTTAAAAGCTGCTTTTTGAATCTTTCTTCTTCTCAGGTCTCAAAAGATGTGATGGACTCTTTTGTCTACCACAGCTGCGGCAGAAAATCTCCCTGCACACACTCTTGTACATTTCACAGCATACACACAGGAGTACAAAAGAAAATGAAAGAAGAGAACATGAAAACCACATTATCACATTAATTCACCACCATTAAGCTGTGTATTTACTTTTGTTTAAAAGTATGAATGCTGCTGGTAAATGATAAATGGACTGTACTTATATAGCACCTTTCTATCTTTATTTCAAGATACTCAAAGTGCTTTACACTACAATCTGTGCCCTCATTTACCCATTCATACAGCACTCTACATCTCTACAAAGCTAATTGAACAAATCATTCTAATGAGACTAATCAGTGCGTTAGCTCACATTCATACACTGATGGGCACACATCAGAGGCTATGAGGGGTTCAGTGTCTTGCCCAGGGACACTTCGGCATGTGACTGCTGGTGGATTAGAACCCCCCAACTCTCGCATTGGAGGACGACTGCTCTAACTACTCAGCCACAGTACAATTGATTTCTTATGAATATAAAATAAAAATTCAAGTTTCATTAATAAAATATGATACAGCATAATAAAGACATTACATATACAGTGGATGAAAAGTATTCACCTTGTATTTTGTTTCAGTGCAACCAGAAATTTAAAATGAGTGATTTATTTAGAGTTGCGTAGAAACGTTTAGAATTATGCAGTTTGATGCAAAACATAAAACTTATTTTTAATAGGTCTAAAAGTATAAAACTGGAAAGTCAAGTCAACTTTATTTATAAAGCACATTTAAAATAGCAGCTGTTACCAAAGTACAAAGCTGTTGCATATTTAGTCACCCCCTTGTAGAGCCACTTTCTGCAGCAGTTCTGTCTCCATGGTCCTGGTCCATCTAACAAATGTTCTTCATGACCAAACATCTCCAGCTACTTCAGGTTGGATTGCTGCTGCTTCTGTCCAACAACCTTGAAATAAATCAGAGATTCTCTGCTGGACTGAGGTCTGGGCTTCAACTGGACCATTCCAGGACCTTCAACAGGTTCTCCTTAAACCAGTGGGGTGTTCTTCAGCTGTGTGTTTAGGGTCATTGTTCTGCTGGAAGGTGGACCTCCAGCCCATAAGATCTTTGGAAGACTACACATCATGATGCTGCCACCACCATGCTTCACTGTAGGAATGGTGTTCCAACATGATGAGAGGTTGTAGGTTTGCCTCAGACACAAGGTTGTCCTTGATGTTTGACCACAGCACGTTCTTCTACGTTTTTTTGGAAATGAATTCCAGCAGTGCAACTTCTTTTCCCTTAACAAGGGTTTCTCTCCTGCCACTCTTGCATGTAGTCCAGCTCTGTCCAACTTCTAGTGGTCGTATGAACAGATCATCTTAGCTCCATCAGGGTTATTTTGGATCTCCTGGATGTTTGTCTGATTAATGCCGTCCTTACCGGCTCCATGAGTTTGGGTGGTTGATCCTCTCTTGACAGGTTTGCTGTCATAGCATCATCTTTCCATTTCCTAACATTACATTTGATGAGATAAATGGCATATTTAGAGTTCTAGGATTTTTTTATAACCCAAACCAGATTTGTATTTTTCTACAACTTTCTCTGATCTGTGTTGAAAATTCCTTGGTCTTCATGATGTCTCTTAATTAGTGGTAGTTCTTACTTCATAGAGTAAGTGAACAGCTGTTTGCTCCGACGGGTGCATATAAACTGAGATCTTCTGCCTCTTATCTCTGACAGGTGGATCTTATTCAAATAATTCTTTACAAAGTGAAGGTTGGAACATTGACGCAAAGGGGGTGAATACATATGCACGACTTTTAAGTTTTGTACATTTTAGTTATTTAAAGCAAAATTTTCCCCATTTGACGTCATTATTTTTGAATGTTAGGCAACAAAATACTTTTGCAACCTGCTGTATATGAACTATTCAAAAGTTATTAAAATAAACATCATCTATTCGAAAACAGGATCAAAATAAATTTTCATTAAAAGGCAGAAATAAACATGATCAGTTGGAATCAGCTCCAGTCCTTTTAACTTCTTTAAGCCCATATTTATAAACAAGGATTATTATATTAGAATATTGTTTTGGGCAATGGCTAAGAAAATTATTGTTGAGTAAAATTTACATTGTCTAAATATTGTAACTTCTACAAATTTTAAGAGTATAAACAGGATAGGTGTAGATTCTGAAGTCAATGTAGTGGACTCGGCCTCCGACCAAAACCTGCCTCTGAGGACCTTCATGGGACAGGAACTGTTATTTCATTGATTTGAATCCAGAAATACAAATTAGCTCATCCAGAGACTGTCTAATTGTATCCTGAAGTAATCAATTGAAAGAACACTCTTCTTTTATATTATCATCACTATTTTACAATATCTTGATAAATCAAAAGTGTGTTTAGTTCATACCATTTCTAAATGTTGAAGTGAACCACTCATTTTAAATCAACTGTGAAACAGTATTAATGATTTTTTAATCCTCATTTAAATAAGAAGTCAAGTTAAAATGTCTATTTTACAAAGTAATTATGAATTTTTGATCTTCTGTCTAAATGAGAAGTAGTGATCTCAGTCAAGAGTCAGGAAGCAAGTATAAGAACGAAGTGCTTTGTTTTTAAAACTCTCAGACAGTAAATTAGAAAACTGGCACCTGTAAGTCTGTCATTTCTCCAAAATATTTTCTCGTCTGTAACTAACCGTTCTCAAAACATTCCTGCTGTTTTCTTGACTTGTAATGACCCTCTGATATCACTAGAACCACCCCTGTTGGTTGCTTCAACCAATCAGGAGGTCCTAAAGTGAGAACTTTTTAAAAGTCGACACTTCCTGGAACTATTCAGTTCTGGAGTTCTGGAGGGAGTCCTGGAGTGGAGTTCTGGAGTCAGTGCGGCAGTTCTGCAGTTCTCAGTCTTCATGGAGTTTTTCCACTGCTGAGTGGAACTTCGGACTCAGTTTTCCAGTCTGATGGAGTCATCCATCTCTGCAGGAGTCACGGCGCCTCGCTGTGACTTCACCCGGCGAATGTCCTACAACTTCTGAGGAAGTTTGTTCTGTTGAACGGAGTATCTCACGACTTCTGCCGAGTCGCAGCCGCCCTGAGGAGATGCTGAAAGGTAGCGTGCCAGGGACCTCTTGACCGTAGCGGCCCCATCCTCTGCCAAGGTAAAGAGTCGTCACGAGCTTCACGCACTAAGTGGACCGAGGGCGAGCTGCGTTTGAAATGAGTGTGCTGTTTCTGGTCCACAGACATACATCTTCCTTCAAACCTCTCCCTTTAAACTCTTACATTTTCCCATCTTTAAACTCTTCTGTTTTGCCAGTAATTAATCTAGAGGCCTTCAGAAATGTCTGTTGTTTTTATTAAGTAAAACGTGCCAAGTTTTATTAATCAGAACCAGATCAACTAATCAAGTGTACAATGTTTTGATGTTAAATTTTGATTCTGTTCAATAAATGACCACATTTATTTTGATGGGTCAAAGAAAATTAACGTCTCATGTCACTGATTAAACCATCTATGCACAGTTACTTCTGTCACATGGCTGTAATTAGCTCGAATAAGAGAGAACCCATTATTTAAATTATATAATAGTGAAAGTACAGCAAAGCTGACCTTGACACACTACATCAACATGGTAAATCCCAATATATATATATATATATATATATATATATATATATATATACACACACACACACACTGTATATCTATCCACCCATCCATTATCTTCCGCTTATTCCGAAGTTGGGTTGCGGGGGCAGAAGCTTGAGCAGAGTGGCCCAGACATCTCTTTCCACAACCATCTCTTCCAGCTCTTCTGGGAGGATTCCAAGGTGTTCCCAGGCCAATCGAGAGACATAGTCTCTCCAGCGTGTCCTGGGTCTTCCCGGGGTCTCCTCCCAGTTGGACATGCCCAAGGCACCTCCCTAGGAAGGCGCCCAGGGGGCATTCTTACCAGATGCCCAAACCACCTCAACTGGCTCCTCTCGACATGGAGGAGCAGCGATTCTACTCCGAGTCTCTCCCAGATAACTGAACTTCTCACCCTCTCTCTAAGGGAGAGCCCAGCTACCCTGCAGAGAAAACTCATTTAAACTGCCTGTATCCGCAATCTCATTCTTTTGGTCACTACCCAGAGCTCATGACCATAGTTGAGGGTAAGAATGTAGACCGACCAGTAAACAGAGAGCTTCACCGTGCAGCTCAGCTCTCTCTTCACTACAACGGACCGGTACAGAGTCCGCACTACTGCAGATGCTGCACCAATTTGTCTGTCAATCTCACGCTCCATTCTTCCCTCACTCGTGGTTGAAGACCATGGCCTCAGATTTGGAGGTGCTGATTCTCATTCCAGCTGCAAACCTCTCAAGTGAGAGCTGAAGATCATGGCACGATGACGCCAACAGGACCACATCTTCTGCTCAAAGCAGAGATGGAATCCTGAGGCCACCGAACCGGAAACCCTCCGCCAGCTGACTGCCCTGAGAAATTCTGTCCATAAAAGTTATGAACAGAATCGGTGACAATGGGCAGCCCTGGCAGAGTCCGACTCCCATCATGAAGGGGTCCAACTTACTGCCAGCAATGCGAACCAAACTCTCGCACCTCTTGTATAGGGACTGAACAGCCCGTAACAACTGGCCTCCAATCCCATACTCACGGCGCACCCCCCACAGTGTACCCCGAGGAACACGGTCGAATGCCTTCTCCAAGTCCACACAACACATGTAGACAGGATGGGCAAACTCCCATGACCCCTCAAGGACCCTAGTGAGCGTAAAGAGCTGATCCAGTGTTCCACAGACAGGACGGAACTCACATTGTTCCACCTGGATCTGAGACTCGACCAGAGATCGGACTTGCTTCTCCAGTACCCCTGAATAGATCTTACCAGGGAGGCTAAGGAGAGTGATGGCCCTATAATTGGGGCACACCCTCCCTCTGGTCCCCCTTTTTGAAAAGGGTAACCACCACCCAGTCTGCCAATCTAGTGGCACTACCCTCGATGTCCATGCGACCTTGCAAAGTTGTGTCAGCCAAGACAGCCCCACAACATCCAGAGCCTTAAGGAAATCAGGGTGAATCTCATCCACTCCTGGAGCCCTGCCACCTTGGAGCTTTTTAACTACCTCGGCGATCTCAGCCACAGTTATGGACGGATCAACTCCAAAGTCCCCCGACTCAGCTTCCTCCATGGAAGACGTGCTTGTGGGATTGAGAATGTCCGAAAAGTAATCCTTCAACCTCCCGACAACATTATTGGTCGAGGTCAACAGCACCCCACCTTCACTGAACACAGTGTTGGTAAAGTGCTGCTTTCCCCTCCTCAGCCACCTGATGGTTTGCCAGAATCTCCTCGTAGCTGACCGAGAGTTTCTTTCCAAGGTCTCACCGAACTCCTCCCACATCCAAGCTTTTGCCTCAGCAACAGCCAAGGTTGCAGACCTCTTGGCCTGCCGGTACTCCTCAGCTGCCTCCAGAGTCCCACTGGCCAACTAGGCTCGATAGGACTCCTTCTTCAGCTTGACAGCCTCCCTAACCCGGGGTGTCCCCCACCGAGTTCATGAATGGCCACCGCGAGAAGCACTGACAACCTTGCGGCCACAGCTCAAGGCAGCTACCTCAACAAGTGAGGCACGGAACATGACACACTATATATATATATATATATATATATATATATATATACATATATATATATATATATA